GAGTGAGCATTGAAATGTGAGCATCTGGATCCTGAAGTTTAGGACTTGGGGTAAAAAGTCAGGAGGCCCAGACACTAAGAGACACTTAAGCCTGTGTACTTCGATGTCATCAAAGGGAAGAGTTTCAGAGAAAATAGATCTCATTACCAACTTTTGATAACGTGAAACTTTGCAAGTTGAATACACGAGTCAATATACAAAAGAAACTGGTTCATTTATAAATTACAATCAAATTGGCATACAAAACTGATGCTTGAAGTTGTTCACAAAAAAATATCTGCCTAAATGCCCAAGCTAAGAGATTACATTTATCTGGTTCTATCTTGGAAGTTCCCGAACAGTGAAGATCTGACAAGAGACCTCTATGATGTTCGGAACAGACCTTTTTATCCGAAGGAGAGTGTCCTGGAGTTTCCTTGCATTCCATAACTGCTTTTGGTCATAGTCTAAGCCATCTGTAGGCTAAAACATCATTTATTATAAACCCCTGTGGATTTCTTCCTATTCCTCTTTCAGCTCATAGTGCTCTCAGATCAGTAACTGTAACGAGCTCGGGTCTGTCTTCAGGGGACAATTGTCCCTCTCTGTCCAGACCCTGACTTTGTCTCTTAGCTTTATGCTGTTTTCACCCTCTTCCCTTCTGACTTTCCTCCGCTGCTCAGGCTGAGATCCCATTCATTCCTCAGATAGTTCATGTTTTCCCTTTGATGCAATCAGATCTTCAGAATGGCATGTTCCTGCCCAGCTTCTGCATGCCTTTGCTTCTCCCTTGTGTCTTTGCTTTAGTGATTTCTTACTTAGTAAATTAGTAAAACACCTGTGTGCTAATTGCTTACATTTGTATTCGTGTTAAACCTCTCATTCATGTCTGCAAGGAGCTTCCAAGAGGCCTCTCAGACAAGTACCTTTTAATATATTTTTAAGGTAAAAAAAACTGAAATAGCATAGAAATAGTTCTCTAGAATTAGAAGTTCATCTTATCTTTTCCCAAATTTTAGTGCTATTTAAGAATTGGCACTTGTGTAGTCACAGAACATATGGGGACCATTACTTTTTTCCAAACCAGAGTGTGAGGGAAGTCTTGGAAGAGCTTGAGTCATGACTGTAAGTGCTCAAGGATATCCTGAGAACTAAGAATCTTTTTCTTTTGCTTTTGCTTTTTTCTGGTACTGGGGATTGAACTCAGGACCTTGCACTTCCAAGGCAGGCACAGCACCACTGAGCTAAATCCCCAGCCCAGGACTGAGAATCTTTTCTCCAACTCTGGTGAAGGCAGAAAGTTTTAGTCTGATGGTGGCATTTCATACATCAGGGCAAGAAAGGGGCAGCAACTGGAACATCTTGCTCTGAAATGTTGTCTATATGTAAATCTCCTCATGTCCATGGCCAAGTGGCTGCTCTGGAAATGTCAACCACTGATTCATCATCTCTCCACTCTGAAGACAGCTCTGTGAAGCACAGAGTACCTGGAAGCATTTCTCCTCTATAGCGAACAGGATGGTAAAAGTCCTCGTAGACAGTGCCTGCCAGAAACACTTCGGGAGCAAGCATCATCCGGTGATTCCTGGCATGGGCTCCGGGGACCCTGCCTCCTCTGTCTGGAAAGAAAACCACAGCCCACGTGGCCTAGCTGCCTGCCAGTACCACTAACCATCCTTGGGTCACCTCCATGACCTCGTGTGTCTGGAGGGTCACTCTTGCTGCAACCTCCACAGACCTGGAGGACCGGCTGCACCAACCCACACTGAACACTCGCTGTGCACCTATGGCGCCGGGCACTGTCACAGGTCCCCGTCTGTGCACCAGAAGATTGCGGATACCTGTCCAGCTACTGCAAAGTGGCTCCAGCTTTGGCCAGTCCCACAAACTTCCCTTCATTCAAGTTGCTAAACCGTACTCTCTCAAGTGCAGTCTGCACCTCTTCCAAGTGTAGCAGCCTTCACTGAGGACAAACTGAGCCCTCAGATCCATGCAGAGTTTCCTTACACACAGTACCAGTTTTGATTATTCTTTTACTACTGTTAACAACTCTTGAGTGTAAATGTACCCTAGCTAGCCCACTGTGTATCTTCCGATTGGATTCAGACTGCTACCGACAGTAACATGACAGTAACATGACCAGGTGGTTTAAATTTACCCCACCAAAAGAAATTCTTCCTGGATGAAAGAACCCCGGTAGAAAAAATACTTAATTTAACTTAACATATTAGTGATTAATTTTTACCTATTTTTAGAATACGAGGAGAAATATTTATGTTCCATGCTATGAATGAAGAAAGAAAAGTAAAACCTGCACCAGAAACATGAGATTACATACCTTATCACATTATGACTGAGAAAGCAGGGCAGACCAGAGAGATAACTTTCGGAGTGCTTCCTCTTTCTGTAATAATCTACAAGGCCACTTGTTCCCACACAGGAAATCCTATTATCTTCAACCTCATCACCAGGACCATATGGAACCAACATTTCCCAAGAGTAAAGATTGTTTTATTTAATGAGTGTGTCTACTGCCACACAAAGGTTGGGCCAGACATTGTGCAGGATGATAGGCCCACAAACACAGCTGTGCACTTTCACAGAGACCATCTCGAATGTACAGCTTCCCTTCTACACATGCCAAGTGCTCCATGTGGGCAGCAGAGTGTCTGGGGACAGACATCCACTTCCTCCCTCGGATCTTGTGCAGCCTAAACCACCTCTGCCTGCTGAAAGCGATATTAATTTAACCAATCCATAGACGAAGTGGAAGGGCATAAACACCAACCGCTTAACACATTTATCTTAAATATATATGTTGGATTTTTTCTGAAACACGATGGAAACGTCTCATTCCATATTCTGCCTTGGATGAAGAGGCTGGAGACTGCTACAGTCAATACTTTCAAAGATGTTTTTTTCCTAGGTTCTGAATGCAGTTTATATTCTGTAATATATGAATGAGACAGAGAGAGAGGGAGAAGTTTCCTGGGATGACGGGAATAGATGTGATTTTCTTTAGCCACGAGGCTTCCCACACCTTTTTCTTTCCCTACCAGTCACCTGCCTCAGTGGCAGCCAGAGCCACTGGTGATTTTTTCTGCAGTTCTCTGCCATGTGCAGGAGAAACAACATACTGATTTCCTGTATTTTTTTTTCAATTATCTCTGGCAAATTTTAAGGTCATCACATTTTCCTTGGTATTATCTTCTTTTTATTTTCATTGCTTAAAATTCCTGTGGAGTTCTTAATTCTGTGCCTGGATATCCTCTGCAATTACAGTGTATCCTTAGCCTAATCTTTTCAATATTACCTCTGCAATATTCCCTCCTCTGAATTTGCAAGTCTCATTTAGAAAAAAAAAAACTATCCACTAAATCCTCTATGTCTTACACTCTGTAAGTCTCTCCTCCATATTCCCTAGTTGTTGTTATTTCTCTGATTAATTCATGGTAGATTCTTCTGACCTATACTCCAAGTCATTGATTTCATCTTTAACTGTGTCCATGCTGCTATTAAACTCATTCATTTAATTCTTAACATGATTCAATTAATGTAAGCTATAATATACTTTAAAATGAACAGTGTGTTATATACTGCAAGAATTACAGTGTGTCACAAATTTCAAGATATTTACTAATTTCTGACATTGGAAGATGTAAAAACTGGATAATTTAATCAATAGAATTCAGTTATCTCTATCTATATTTTAGCTCCTGAATGCTTTAGTCCTTTTTTATAGTATCCAGTTAAAAGTTTTGTCTTTGTAAATACAGTACACATAATTATTTTACCAAATATCTGGTAATTACTTGGAATCTGCATGGGTCTATTTCATTTGTCTATCCTTTCTGCTGAGAGCATCTTGTTTGTTTACATGCCTAGTCAGACTTTTTGTGGTGCTTGATGCTATACTAGATAAAAACCTAGATTTATAAGGATAATTTGATTCTTCAACGATGTCATTTTCTCTTTAAAGAATTTCAATTTACTTTCCCACATGCTTCATATACATTTATTATTATCTTCAATACCAAAGCCATTTCACCTTATTATTGTGGGAAGCCTATTCAGACCCAAAGTATGTTCCAGGATTCATTTGCATCTGATTAATTTACAATCACACAGGGATGAAGGGGCCATATGAAGACTGAGAGGGATTGCTACCAAGAGCCAAAATATCTCCTGTGCCACAGAAGTTGGAGAAGAGATTCTCCCTTGCATCCCTCAGGTAGGACCAACCTTCCTAACACATCGATCGGGTTTTGTAGTTCTAGCCCCTAGAACTGTGCAGCCATAGGTCTCTGTTCTTTAAGCCACCCATTTCCTGGTAGCTCCTGGCTGCCGCCCTAGGAAACTAATACATAGGGCAGGACTTTCTGAACATTCTACCCGATGCCCTGTGACCAAAGGGCTTTTCTGCCTGCCTGTGGTGACGGCCTGTATTCTTAGCTCTCTCTCTGAAGCCTGGGTGTTGTGTCAAAGCCTTTGAGGTGATTTCTCCCTTCTTCTCATCCATTCACTCGACACCATTCTGCCACATACTTGAGAACACCGTTTACAAATCTCCACAGAGTTTGCATCCTGTGCATATTATTTCTCTCACATACCTTGCTCTGAAAGCTGTGGTGGGACTTCTCAGCAGCCATAATCATTTAAAACAATTCCCTTAATGATTTTAACTCTTTAGGGAAGATACCTAGAAGGGAAATAGCTGCATCAAATGGAATAATTTCTACTTTTAATTTATTGAGGAAACTCCACACTGATTTCCATAGTGGTTGTACTAGTTTACATTCCCACCACTAGTACAGAAAGGTTCCTTTATTCTCTTATCATTTTGTTATGAATTCTTGTTTTATTTATTTCATAAAATAAAAAATAAAAGTGTTCATAAAGAGAACTCCAGAAACTTCTTAGTCCTTGGCATCATTTCACTGATGCTTGATTCTCCATTATCCTTAATCAGCCTCAACCTCAGATGCAAACACAAACACAAACAAGAAATCAAGTTGCATCGGTCCAGTTTATTGTACAAGTACCAGGAGTTCACAAGTACAGTGATAATTAACTATGCTTCATTATGGGCTGGAGTAGAGAGCAAGAAATTAAGGTCGGATAAACAGATGGCATATTAAGTGGCTTCATGAAGACGACCTTTAAGCTGAAAGTTAGAAAGATAATTTGGGGCAGTGGAAGTGTGAAAAGCTTTCAGCACTGTAGGAGCCTGAGGCAGGAGGATCACAAGTTCAAGAGCAGCCTGGGCAACTTAGCAACTTATTGAGACCTCATTTCAAAATGAAGAATTCTGAGAATGTAGCTCAGTGCAAAGGCCCTGGGTTCAATTTCTGGTAACAAAAAAGAAAAAACTGTGAACAGCACAGTGGCTGTGTGTTCTGTGTGTGCCAGACCTGGGTGTGTGGTAAATGACCGAGAGGGAACCAATGTCCCCAAACTGTTCAGTTCCCACAGCGCTTTTCTACTGAAGCTAGACATGAGCTGCTTTGTCCTTATTTTACATATAAAAACAACAGCAACAAAATCACTTCACTTAGCTAACTTTTCCCTCTGACCTTCTCTTCGTCATCCTCTCGTGTTGCTCACCACCACCCCACCTCTCTCTCTCTCAATCCCTCTTTGCAGATGTTCTGCTCATCCGCCTGTGACCAGAGTCCCTGGGGACCGCCTTCACGCCATCTGCGTTCACTCCGCGTGCTATTTTCTCTCTGTCTCCGAGTGGATTCATCACGGGGGACCTCTCTCCGCGGAGGCTGACATTCGGTCTCTGAGTATTAACTGTTTTCTCTTCATTCAGCCTTTCCACATTGGGCTTTCTGCTCTCCACTCTTTTGCAATGTACTCTCTGACCAACTCATGTCTTCTGCATTTTATCCTTATTTTTCTCCTCTGGTTCCAGGCACATGAAGTTTAACCTGGCTTTACTTCTATCTCAAAAGAATTCCCTTAGAGTGTTAATGTGCTTCCCTTATTTTTTAAATCTTTATCAGTGTATCTCAATAGAAATGTTAAACACCTTTATTGAGGGAAGTGGTACAGATACATGTCTATTTCGATGCGTTTGACTTGCCCTTGTGCTCTCCTTCCTCCCATCCCCCATTGCCAGATCCCCTTTAATAATTCCGTCCCTCAGCACGACTCTAAACCGCCATCATCAGACGGTGCCATGACTGGAACTCCGTCCTGAACGCCCTCAGGCACTCCCCAACTTCATTTCCCTTTTCTCCTCAAAATGAAAATCTAAACCTGAGCTTCACTTAGGTCTCACTGTACTCCTTCTCCATCATTCCTGTTTCTGAACGTCCACCACCTGTAGCACTACTAAGTGTTCTGCTGGGCTTTGTATTAGTCAAATAATTGTCCAACTTTTCCCTTTAATTTTAACATGATAAAAAAACTACCAGTCTTTTTATACTCCTCTTAGCTACGATCATTCCCATTCCCACTGAATCAATTTCCGCTAGGGTTGTCGTAAATTGATTTATCTTTTATGTCTTATTAAACAAACTCTGCATTTACAGCTTCTCTGCTTTCGCCTTTCCATTTCATCAGATACCGAGTAACTTAATAAAACTCCCACCACCTATTCACCAGTCTCCCAGCAGTACTGAACAATACCATGTCAGTGAAAGCCCTGGAGCTTCAGGCAATTCAAAGATTTTTATAAAACTTTGTGTCTCTGAAAAAATATGTTATTGAGGGATATACACATTGGCATATAGAATACCACCATCCTGTGAGGCATATACACGTGGGGTGTGCACAGGGCAGTGCATATCACACACAGCTGGAGCTGCGTGAACCCTGAAAAGAACTAAGCAGCAGCTATTAGCAAACGGTCGGTTTGGCTCGGCCCTGCCCTCTCCTTGCTTTCCCAGTTACAGACGCACAGTAAACCTCACTTACTCCATGTGGATTTCCCAGAAGGCGTGAGTGTGAGATCGTAACAGACAGCAAGAAAAAAGGGAGTCTGGGGTATCTACAAATGAGGGACAGGAACACATAGGCGATTACAAGCAATAAAACAGGGAGGGGAGAGAGAGAGGATGAAAAGAGAATTAGGCTGTGTGATGTCCCCGTACCAACTCCCCACTGGGAATGTAATCATTATGTACTGAAAACATGCACTGGTAAAAATAAGATGGGTTTTTAAAAGCAGCAAACAAAATATTGATATCCAGAGGAGAAATCCAATGCAAAACTGACAGACTGTGTAGGGAACAGAAATTTGGCCGGTGGCCTCACAAGCATAGACTTCGGCTTTCAGATCCTTTACTGTGAATCAGAAAGTCCTGCCACACACTTCTTATGAATCCACAGGGGAAGATGTTTCCTCTTTGTTTTCCAACTCACTGTAAATTGGGGAATAAATGTTTAATTCTTCATAAAGACGATCATCCGGAACCTGGAGAGAAAAGGCCATTCTGTATCAATCACAGAACTTTCCACTTCTGAAAGACTCGTTCAAGAGCCACATCGCCTTTGTTTTTCTGTCTGGCACCCTCAGACTTTCTCTCATTACACTAATTATTCCCTCCATCTCCAGAAAACCAAACCAGACTGGCAGGTGAGCTGGGCGATTTCAGGTGAGGAGATTGCTCTGTGCCTAAACTCTGGTACATCTGCTGTCTCATTCATCTGTTGAGGAAAGCGATCAGCAAGGGTGGACAGCCTGGCATGTGGGGGGAGGTGGTCAGACAGAGACGTGTGCTCCGTCTCCGGGGCTGGAGTATGTCTGCAGCATGCCCCATTGATTCCCACCAAAGACACGATGAGTGGATGGAGTGAGTGGAAATGCAGTTTACTCGTGAATTACAAAGTAATGAAAACTGGAGGATTTGGAGCAATCGAAAGTCAGAGAAGGAAAAAGGAGGGAGACAAGAACAAGCATAAGAAGTTCTGCTGGTACAGTAACTAAGGCCAGAGACCAGAGGGCCTGCTGCACGCTTCACGGCATCCTCAGTTCTAGAAATCAAAGACCCTTTTCTCCTAACCCTCAGCAGGTTGTGCTGTCAGAGTTTTGCTACTTCTGAGTATAAATCATGGGGGCCAATTTCAGCAAGCTGAGAAACAATTTTCCAGAAAAAACTAAGTTCCAGAAAATCCAGACCATACTGGTGAAGGATGGAGCTCAAGCCATCTAGCCTCCCGTCCAGCGTTCCACACCAGGCTTCTGCTTACCTTGTTCCCCTTGCATTCTTCTCCAATCCCATACAGCGTGAGTGACACAGTGGTGCAAAACCCCAGGATGGTGAGGAACAGCATCATGGCCACAATTTCCTGTTAGACAACAACCAGCGAGACTCACAAAGACAGAGTCACGTGACAGGTGTCCCAAAGTCCCTTCCTTCACAGCCCACACGTAACCAGTTGCTACCGAGCGACATGCACATAGGGAAATAGCAGGTGGTTTCTTGGGGCCCTAAGACTAGGAATGTGTCCAGCAACAGGAGGAGGGCCGGTCAGTGTCCTCCTAATCCACAGCACGAGCCTACAGGACATAACATCGGGGGATGGCGGTCCCCGCTGATGGAACAGTGCTCCAGGAAAAGAGAGGGACCCCAATTTTAGCCTTTTCACAAGAAGTACGTACAATGGTGAAGGAAGCCACGAGGCAGTCGTCATTCTCATCCAGTCTCTTGCAGCGGTTGATGTAGGCCGAGCTGTTGCTGAGACTGAGGACCAGGATGATAATTCCCACGGCCGCAGCTATGCTGCTGAGGGTGTTTGCCCCCAGTCTGCCCCTGGCCTGATGAAAGGAGAACACACACCTGAGCCTGTGCCTGCAGCACAGCGTCAGGGCGGTCACATCCAGCACACTGCAGTGGCTCAAAGTATTCCCTGCAAAGGAAAATCCTGGACAGCCACTCCTTGTTGACTAAGCATCCACTACTTTCTGATTAGGCTGCATTCAAGGAGGTGGGGCTGAGGGGGAGGGATGCAGCTCAGTGGGAAGGCACGTGCTTAGCTCACACCCGCAACAAACAAGCAAGCAGAAAAAACCACAGGAAGATGCTTGGTTGCTCTCAGAGTCTCCTTCACTGGAAACTGCCACAGCTGAGGACCAGAGCCAGAGTGAGGACTTTTTAGAACTAGGGTTAACACAAGCTCAAATAACCCGAAGGATAAACGATTGAAAGAGCGAATGAAACAATAAATAATAAGAAACAGCAACAGACCTTTGCAAGTGGGAACGTGATGTAGAGATGGAGCGGGGAGGGGAAGGGAAGGCAAAATGAAAAGATTACGATGTGTCCTATGCCTGTACCAACTCCCCACGACCTATGTCATCGTCATATACTGCAAACGCAGACCACAGAAAATGTCTAAAAATTTATAAAATACTAGTGTCGAAGCAGTTAAACTTCACTGTATATTAAATCATGCAATTTATGTTTCTACTGATTACACCCAAGTTCTGCTGCCCGAAAAAACTTCCAATGCAAAATATATTTTAAACAATTACATATCCACATTATAATATGAAATAATAAAATAATCTGCCTCAAGTTCCTGAGGATGAACAAAGGCAGAATGTAACTCACCAGGTACACAGTGGCGTTTTTCCTTTCAGATAGAACTGACAAAACTCCAGAGATAAGGAACTGTCCAAAAGAGAAGGGGCAGGGCCGGGGATTTAGATCAGTGGTTCCGCTGCCTGCCTCGCAAGTGCAAGGTCCGGAGTTTGATCCCCGGTACCAAAAGAGAGAGAGGAGAGAGAGAGAGAGAGAGAGAGAGAGAGAGAGAGGAAACAATGTATCGGGTCTCTGCTCTGCTCCTCTATCCCCATCCTCCATATACAAAGTAACATTCTGAGTACTTTCTAAAGCTGTTTACTGATGTTCCCCATGAGTGCACCTCAAAGTTAAATGTGAGAGACTGTGAAACTGTGGCTCTTATTCATCAGCTCCTCGATGGGGCCCCAAATTCTTCACATTTACCTGGCTTCCAAGCGAGGCTGACTTTGAGAATCCGTGGGTCATGGGGCTGGCAGTGTCTGGTGCACAACTTTGTTTTAATAGTACTTTCATCCTATTGTCATTATTTGTTTGTGTCAACTCCTCTAGGCAAGAACTATGTACCTCTGTCATGTACAGCTCCAGAATCTGACATATATCCTATAATCATGTACTGATTACAAAAACATACACAAGGAAAGACTTGGAAAAACATAAATCAATCTCTGAAATATTCAGCTTGTATATGGGTGGAAAGACACTTAATGAGCTAAATATTTGGAATTAAAAAGGCAGTGGAGAGAAATTTCAAATAAAATATGACAGAGGTTCATGAAAAGGCTTGAACAAGTGATCTGGGTACTGAGTATTTAGCAGAGTGAGACACTGATGTGATATTCACTGAGTTAAAATGTATCTTTATGACAAAATATTGATACAAAAAACATAGATAATTGCCTGATAATTATATGGAGTAAAAGGAGGCAGACAGTAGGGAGAAAGAACATGCTATGTGACTCCATTTCTACAGAGACCTAGAAACGCATATTCAGTTACCATCACAGAAAGGAGACCGGTGACTGAGAAGGAGGACAGGCACAGAGAGGGTGAGGGGGAGTTTCCAGAAGCACAGGAAACCTTCGGAATGATATGTAGGCTCATTATATTGATGTGTTGACATTTTTATATGTGGACACGTATGAGTCAAAAATTCATCAAATTATACACCCTCAGTATTTTCCATTTATTGAATGTCAATTTTACCTCAATAAGCTCTATGTCCTTGTTATATCTGTGGACCATCTAGTTTCCAGTGAGTACAATGATTAAAAGGAATCCAATGGGAAAAACCCAAGTGTGTTCCCATGTTTATGGCAGCACAGTTCATGATAGCTGAATCTTGGAAGAAGCCTATATGCCAATCAACAAATGAATGGATAAAGTAAATGTGGTATTTACACAGGGGAGTACTACTCTGTCATGAAGAAGGATAAGCTTGAGTCATTTGTAGAAAAATGGATGCACCTTGAGACCATAATATTAATTGGAAAAAAAATCAGACACACAAGCTTAAAAATCACTTAGTTTCTTTTGTATGAGAAACCCAGGTTATAAAGAGCAAAATAAAAGATAGGTAATAGGAAGTAGAGAAGATAGATCTTTCTTACAGTAAGGGGGTTGACAGATGGAGGGGAAGAGGGGAAGGGGATGAAAGAAGGAATGAAGATGTGTTATGTACATGCACCAACCCCACACGAGGAATGTGAAGGTCATGTACATCGTCACACATGTACTAACAAGAACAAGAGCGTTCTAGGAGGTAGTAGAAGTGCTTCTTTTCACCTTAGCAGTTTCTTCTCCACACCTTTCCTAAAAATAACTTTTTCAATTATTTTTAATTGACCTAAGTTGTATGTATTGATCACATAACAGTGTAACAGTTATTGGTGAATAGTGAGGGTATTTTCCTAGAACTGGATTCTGGAAGTTCATGTTCTATTTCTATTAGCTAAAAGTCCCTTGGGCAAGACATTTAACATTTATTAGAATGCAATTTCTTGTCTAGTAGAAGTATGTTAAATGTGTAGCCCATAGCTAACTTTAATAAGAATCCTTTGTTGTTGCTATTAATTACCACATACATGAAAATGTGTTTTATAAAATGAAAATATATATTATGCATATATGTGAATAATTATATTGTCTTAATCTGGACGTAGATGATTGGTTAAACTGGAGTAAAAGAAAATCTATGCTCTGTGTTATTTCAAAAACAATTATATACTGCCGCCACCTGCCTCACAAGTGCAAGGTCCTAAGTTCAATCCCTGGTATCTCCCCCCAAAAAAACAAGTATACACTCACAAGTACTGCTCCCCAGAATGGGTAGCCTGCATGGAATGATGAAAATACTTTTCCATCAAAGTCTGAAGTATTGAGTACAGAGGAGATAATTGTTCCAAAACAAAGGCACAGCAAACCAACCAGGATTTGTGTGACCTGCAGAAAAACACATGAGTTTTATGAAGTTAGAAGCTATTTCTCCAGATTATTTCAATTTCCTTTACAACTGAGACCAAATATTGTTTTAGTGTCTTAGGCTGTCCTGAGAAGTCCTCTGAATGTGAGATTGTCTAGTAATTCCCTGGCCACTGTCAGGACTGACTATGAGTATGATATATTGGATGAGTGGCCAATACATGTGCCATATACCTTTCTTCATGCAGTCCTGCTAGACATCAGTAATTACACTCCCCATCTGAGAGACAGAATCACTCCTATGTGCCAATCCTGCTGCAATCATTTACAGTCTTCATGAGAAAATTCGTGCCTTTTCCTCAACATGACCCAACAAGTATCAGCTCTTCAGCTGCCCAGAGTTTGAAGGTTTCATTTCTCATGAACCTCAAGAGGAAACCACTGATGTAACCAAATACTCTTTCCTGAGCCAGCCCTGACTCACTGAGGCTCAAAGAGACTCACTCACCCCCAGGAATTCCAGCTCTTTCTTCAGAAACGATGACCATGTCTGCCGTGGTGGGGCTGAGGCCAACTTCTCCCGTGGAGTCCCCTCTTGGGGAGGCACCTCCAAGAGTTCTATTTCAGGTGCACTGCGAAATTTAGCAGAAATACAGCCGTAACAAGACATTCTGCCTGACAGGAAGGAGAGTCGTGTTTATTTTTTTCAAAACAATCCCATGATTGAAATCTCCATTGCACTGACTGAGACATTATGGCTCACAGGATTGTAGTGGGTGAATAAGAAGATGTGAACACTAAGTGATTTGATGAAACAGCACAGAGCAAAAATCATGCTGAGTATTCTTATTTTTAATACCAGATCACCATCAAATGTTTTCCAGTTGATCCCCACTGGTAAACAAAACTGAAGACAATCAAATGCCATTTACCTAAGCATTTTGTAGTCCTTCCAATATAGAAACAAGTCTGACTATATTTCATCAGTGACACACAAAGTCCTATGCACTGAAGACAGAAGGAAGGAATGGATTCAAGGGTGTAGATGGATGGATTTGTGTTTCTGTTTTCATCCTCAGAGCAAGAATGCACAGTTAGAGCCTTGCAAAGATCAACCAGGAAGGAGGTCATTGTGTAAAGTTGCTGTTCCCGACACAGAGGGAAGAGATCAATATGAACAACACAAACTCTTATTTCATACCCAAAACATGTGCCTCTGGTGTTAGAAAGCCTATGATCCCCACTTTATAAGCTGCATGAAACCCTCCTCCCCACCAGTGAGAGAGAATCGCAGGGCAGGCACGGCAAGCAGCTTCTCTATAGCCAAAGTATTCATTAAATATGCAAGTCCGTGCACAAGCCATTAATTGACAACTCTCTCTCCAGCACTCTCTCTGGCCAGGTAAATGGCTGAGAGTAGAAAACAACAGCTCTGCTTACCCTGCCTGCTCCTGTGGATCTGGGAGAGCAAGGTCAGCTCTGCTCCTGGCTTCTGCGTCCATGTCACTGAAGTCGCCACCCGGAGTGAGGAGCAGCATGAACTTCCTCCCCGGCTGGTTCTTGGCAGGCAGCTGAAAGGTCTTGGCTCATGACACAGATGGTTATCTTCGTACACAACCATTGTCAGATAAGTCGGCACCTGATACCGAGTGACTGAGTTTTTCTTCTTAGCATGAATTTACAAAATTGAGAAGTCCCCCGAATAAGGACAGTGAAAATGAGGACATTTGAGCTTCTGGAGTATAATGCTCTCTGAGCCCAGCAGGATGTATACAACCCAGAAGGGAAACTTTTTTTTTAATTCTTTTATTGGTACATTTTAGGTATAAAATATGTTTACATTTATCATCAGGTGCTTGTACCTGTACATGATGTATCTTGGTTCTTATTTTTTCCCCATTACCTGTGC